AGTGCAGCTCATCCAGGATGGCACATCAATGCGAGCTGTGGCAAGAAGGTTTGCTGTGTCTGTCAGCGTAGTGTCCAGAGCATGGAGGCGCTACCAGGAGACAGGCCAGTACATCAGGAGACGTGGAGGAGGCCGTAGGAGGGCAACAACCCAGCAGCAGGACTGCTACCTCCGCCTTTGTGCAAGGAGGAGCAGGAGGAGCACTGGCAGAGCCCTGCAAAATGACCTCCAGCAGGCCACAAATGTGCATGTGTCTACTCAAACGGTCAGAAACAGACTCCATGAGGGTGGTATGAGGGCCCGACGTCCACAGGTGGGGGTTGTGCTTACAGCCCAACACCGTGCAGGACGTTTGGCATTTGCCAGAGAACACCAAGATTGGCAAATTCGCCACTGGCGCCCTGTGCTCTTCACAGATGAAAGCAGGTTCACACTGAGCACATGTGACAGACGTGACAGAGTCTGGAGACGCCATGGAGAACGTTCTGCTGCCTGCAACATCCTCCAGCATGACCGGTTTGGCGGTGGGTCAGTCATGGTGTGGGGTGGCATTTCTTTGGGGGGCCCCACAGCCCTCCATGTGCTCGCCAGAGGTAGCCTGACTGCCTTTAGGTACCGAGATGAGATCCTCAGACCCCTTGTGAGACCATATGCTGGTGCGGTTGGCCCTGGGTTCCTCCTAACGCAAGACAATGCTAGACCTCATGTGGCTGGAGTGTGTCAGCAGCTCCTGCAAGAGGAAGGCATTGATGCTATGGACTGGCCCGCCCGTTCCCCAGACCTGAATCCAATTGAGCACATCTGGGACATCATGTCTCGCTCCATCCACCAACGCCACGTTGCACCACAGACTGTCCAGGAGTTGGCGGATGCTTTAGTCCAGGTCTGGGAGGAGATCTCTCAGGAGACCATCCGCCACCTCATCAGGAGCATGCCCAGGCGTTGTAGGGAGGTCATACAGGCACGTGGAGGCCACACACACTACTGAGCCTCATTTTGACTTGTTTTAAGGACATTACATCAAAGTTGGATCAGCCTGTAGTGTGATTTTCCACTTTAATTTTGAGGGTGACTCCAAATTCAGACCTCCATGGGTTGATAAATTTGATTTCCATTGATAATTTTTGTGTGATTTTGTTGTCAGCACATTCAACTATGTAAAGAAAAAAGTATTTAATAAGATTATTTCATTCATTCAGATCTAGGATGTGTTATTTCAGTGTTCCCTTTATTTTTTTGAGCAGTGTATAACACTGAATTAGGATGTGTCTTAACAAGTGTCATTCTGTTCTTAGGACAAAGAAGATCGTAACTTTTTCCTGATCAAAGAGAGGTTTCGAAAGCCTTATTTGACCAGGGAATGACCAGGAGAGGTGTGGTGGAGGTGAGTGTGGTGGAGGTGAGGGTCATTAATGTTTTGTTTTGTATTCCGTGAACATCAGAAAGGGTTTTGTCTTTTTGTAATATCTCCCTGGGTTCTGGGCAAAACATTTGGCTTAGGACTACTTAGGAAACTTCCTTACTGATGATTCACCTTTTATATAAGACATTAATTGAAAGCATCTTAACCTTCTGCTTCCATGGGTGGTATGGTTCGGCAGCGTCAAGTTTCAAAGCATCCCATCACTCTACAAATCAAGAACCATCCATAAATCCAGAAAATGTTACTAAGATACACCCACTATACGATAAAGTAGGATAAAGTATTCCTTCTAACCCCCCCCCCCCCCCCAAATTGTAAAGTGGTTATCCCACTGGCTATAGGGTGAACGCACCAATTTGTGAGTCGCTCTGGCTAAGAGCGTCTGCTAAATGACGTTAATGTGCCCTTGAGCAAGGCACTTAACCCTAATTGCTCCTGTAAGTCGCTCTGGTTAAGAGCGTCTGCTAAGTGACTAAAATGTAATGTAAATGTATACGACCAGTACCAACAGCTGCTGTCAGGTCGAAGGTTCAAAACCCCACTCTGTAGAACAAACAGGGCACACAAGTCATTCATATCAACCAGCATCAGGTTCCTAAATCCAGGAAGACTAAACCGTAACTCACCACCTACAGTATACCTCTATCTATTTGTCTGTCTGACCTTGTCTTGTGAAGTATGTCCTGTGATATTTATTTTGTATTTTAGTGAAGTGTTGAATGTTCTGTGATGTGTTACATGCGTGCCATTATTCCCAAACAAATGCCGCTATGGAACAATTAAGTATTCATTCATCCATCGTTGTTGGGCTATTGGATTCCATCACCTGGTCCCAATGCACTCCCTACCTCTTCCCCTTGACTAGCTATCAGAGGGTTATGACTTCAAATTCTGAAGAAATGTCATGCAAATCCTGGATCCTATCCCCTGCTGTTGTGATAATAATGTTGATTCTTATGTTGTTTTAGCTTTTTCCAGTAGCTATTTGTGTTTTGCCTCTAGTTTCATATTGCCTGGTAAAACCCAGATTCAAAACACCCCCCCCACTGCCCCTCTGGTTGTGACACAATACAGATCATTCATGGTATATAAGGGCTCCTTTTTCAATCATCTGCAAGATAAAACGCTGAGTTGGTGGAGCAATATTTTTGTGTCTACTCTTTTAATAAACTATTATGTGCAATTACTCTGATTTGTGTTTTCTTCCAATTGTTTCCTCTAGAATTGGTTAGGGAATGAAAGAAGAAAACTGTCCCAGAGTCAAGCTGTCCCTAAAAAAAAAAACTAAGCTCTACAAACAGAATGTGTCAGCTTACAACCTGTTTATGAGGGACCACCTGAAAGCAAAATGTTTGTGCAGGTTTGGCTTTAATTACCTGTTTGCAATTACAAGAGCAAAGCGGGCATTCAAGTATTGTGGACTGTATGCATTTCTCAATCGGTGTGTCTTTGATGTTGGTAAATTATTATTATTTTTAGATGAATGATCAGAGGGGTTTCTCTTCAGAACGTTATGGGTCTAACAACAAATTCTAAAGTCTACTGACTCCATCTGACATATATTTCTACTTAGTTTCAACAAGTAAATGTTTTGTTGTAGTAACGCCTTGATAGAATAGATAGATAAAACAATGTCACTGACATTGTCATGTTTTCTGTTGTATGTCAAGAGTTATGGCAGGTACACAGGGCAAATGGCAGGCATTACCACCTGCAACAAAAGCCCATTACAGTGAGGAGGCAGACAAGCTACAGGCAGGAGGTCAGGAGTTGGAGGGAAACCTGATGGCCTTAAAAGTCAAAGATTATTTAAGATGGCTGAAATCAATGGTGGGAATATATACTGTAGGGTCACAATACTAAATCATGACATTTTGAAACTTTTACTTAAAAAAAGTAATGGATTTGGATTTGATAGTTGGAGTTAGATTTGAGACACAGATTTAAGATCCAGAGAACAGACATTTCTCTTACGAAAGGATTTCAGTCTTTTTGCCAACTCTTTTCCTATAAGCATTTTTAGATGTCTTTTTTTTTAACATCTAATTTCATTTATTATTTATCTTGTCTATTTCTACATAATTTTTTGTTAGGTTATCGAGTTGGAAAAGTATGGGGGTTGACACAACATTCCTTGTCCACAACCCCAAGGACCCCATTCCAGTCAGCACAGCCTCATCTGGGAGGGGAAAGGAATGTGTTGAGGGCCAGGATCTGATCGCCAAGTTTTCTGTACACCTTTCTGGTACACATATTTTTAAAATAACTTTGGTAACATTTAACCTCAAGCATACAGATGTAGGATATACATTTTATCACCCTGTTGCAGGAAAGCTGTTCTGCAATGAAGGACATTTTTAACTTGTAGTGTATTTGAGGTTTGAAAAGGCTTCTGAAGTTTGTAATTTCCACGTAGAAATTTCAGACATGATTTTCCCTTGCCATAAATGTATCAACCCCTGACAAAATTTCAATTTATTAGAATCCACATTTCACATTTCCTGTTACTGCAGGATTATTTTCAAAGTGGAGCTGGAGCTGGAACAAGGGCCTGGAGCTGGAGGTTGGGCTGAGGCTGGAGCTGGAGGTTGGGCTGCAACAGGACCTGTGTCTAATTCCCCAGAGGTTGGTAATAATATATGCACATACAATGAGTATACAAAACATTAAGGACACCTGCTCATTCCATGACATAGACTGACCAGGTGAATCCAGGTGAAAGCTATGAACCCTCATTGATGTCAGTTGTTAAATCCACTTCAATCAGTGTAAATGAAGGGGAAGAGGCAGGTTAAAGAAGGATTTCTAAGCCTTTTTATTTATTTCACCTTTATTTAACCAGGTAAGCCAGTTGAGAACAGCACCAAAAACAGGAAATTTAAGCCAAAAAGATTGCTAATGCAAAATTGCAAATCCTTTTAAATGGATTATGTTCAAATCGAATTGCACTCAATACATGTTCTTCCCTACTATGGGTCATATTAGCGGGCTATCCCTGGGTAAAAACACTTTTTAAAATCCATTACATTAGCTTTTTAAATCACAGTTTAAAAAATAATACGATTATGTGCCTTTGAAGAAGGGAAGGGACATCAGAAGATCTTCTAGTTTTAGTTACAGCACAATAAAAATGGTCATTACCGCCACCAACGTATACGGGGTGTAGTACAGCCATGGTTGATGCTTTTTGCCTATTCGGAAATTACGATATGAAACGTTGATTTGAACCTTCTGACCAAGGTCAACTAGTGGGTCAGGCGGCGCCCCACTGTGTTGATTCATATCGCGTGATTTCTGATGATTGTTCTCGATTATATCGACTGATTGGTTCTGTATCGGGTGAGATTCGAGCCAACGTATTAAGTAGCTGCCTCGTGAAAGTGACAAACTGACACGTTTTCATTTTCGTCAAAAACTACTTTATATCGAAGGAGTGCCTTTTTGATGGCATGCGCAAGCACATTTCCGCGAGAGACGACCTTTAGACCCGATGACGTATTTCTGCGCATGCGCTTAGCTAACCAACGTCGCAATGACATCGCCTACAGCTTGATCAGGGAGAAGCAGTTATTGCCTATCTTCATACTGTACTGTCTTTGGTGGGAACGACGCATATGGCTGAGAAGCAAAATTAGCAACAAAATAACGCAGTCACTGGTAAAAGTGACATCTGACGTTGATCTCGACAGTTTCAGGTAATTTTCGGAAAATATATCCTGAATCTCATTATTCGTATTACATTGAAGTCAAACAGTCTCCAACGTTATCTACACAGAATGCTTATTTAGCTAGCTAGCTAGACAGAAATACTGAGCTACGAAAGTGAATCAGCTAACTACCGTTATTAGCTAGCTTGCTAACAAGCAAGTGCTGAACATTCTAGTGCCAGTGGAGGCAGTCCAACGTTAGCTAGTAGCTAGCGTACATTAGGCTAGCTAATTTATTCACTGACATTAGCCAGCTTGCTAACGTTTGCTCAATTAATTAAATAAAGGCAACACATTTGCTCGCTAGTTATCATTTCCTGGCACTGTCTCACACTTCTGGCTAATAATTGTTAACGTTAGCTAAGCTAGCTGGACAGCGCCTGTGTTCTGTCAATGCTAACTTACAAATGATATTGATGAATTTAGTCATCTAACTAGTTAACTAGCTAAGTATGTTAACTAACATTTGCTTGATTCAGTTTAAACGTTTTAGCTCGCTAACTAGTTTTGATGTTAACGTCTTTACTCCGCATATCAAAAACAGCTCATGAACATGGCATGCTCTGCTTGCAAGCCAAGTGACTGTGTTCTTCTGCCTGTTAATGTGTGAACATTTCTCAGATCACTAGCCTTAGTATCCAAGGTTTCACTTCATCTATCATTATGAATCCAATAATTTTTCTGAGCTCAAGTTGGCCTAAACCTGAAAGAGTTAGAACTATGAGTTTGGTATGCATGAACTAAGCAGCATTGTCTCATTCTTGCCATTTCAAGTGGGCTTGCAATGTCAGGGTGCCAGAAGTTATTCATGTGTTTTTCTTTTCAGGGATAAACCAGAGTCAAGAAGATGGCTGACACAGAGCAAACAAGTGCCCCTCCTCCCCCTCAATTAGGGACAGTGGTGAGTAATCATGCACTTTTACTTCATCAGATCATAGATTGTACTTGTTAGGCTGGATTTATACTCCACTAGATGTACTCTAGTGTAGAAGCTCTGACTTCACCACACACATTTCGCTGCGTGTCATAGCTTGTAACTTTATGCACGCTCCAGTGACATTTTGTAACCGTGAATGTTTGGTGGAGGATAAACCCAGCCTAAAGTCTAATTTATACCTTGTGCAAGTACGCAACGTAAGGACATAATTAGCTACACTAATTGACTGTCCTGTGTAGTTGCATTGTAAAAACATGCAAATGTGTGCAGCCCCAAATTTGTAGTGCAACGCAAGGCAAACCATTTTTGCGTATGTAATTGTGTCCCTGCATTGCGTCATTGCAGTAAGGTAACATTACATTCGTTTTTTTGCTCTCACATTTTGGCTTATTGCATTTCATTTGGATAGTGCTCATTAGCCTTGGGCGATACCCCGGTATATGGTATAAGCGGTATATTTCGAAATACAGACGGGGAGTGCATGCTACGCCACTGCTTATAAGTTAAGTATGACTATAAGAAATCTAAGTTGGGTCAAATAAATAATATCCAGCTCAGGGCTCCAGCTATGCATTTGGTTTGCTAACTTGCTAGCTGAGTGGCTAGATGTCAAGATCAAGCTTCTTGGTTACAGCAGAGACATTCAATCCCCTCTTGGATCAAGATCCCTGTTGCCTAAATTGTTTTTGCCCGCCTTGTGTGCACATTCGGTAATGCCGTATGCCCCGGTATGGTACGAAAACGGTATGAAAATCTGGATTACCGCAACCGTAGTTCTCATACTGATACAATATAGGCCTATGGTTGTGCTTCTACAGTGGACGGTGATTCTACAGTGGATGATTTAGTCTAGTTTTTCCTAATCTTATGAAGTTGAATGTACTCTCTTCTTTCACAGCAATTCATGTTGGCTAACAAACTAGAGACGGCAATGTGGCTCTCGCGGCTCTTCACCGTCTATTGCTCAGTAATGTTCATTCTACCTCTCTTAGGGTAAGGGTCAATGCTCCAATTGTTTGCTTTGTCTATATGTCTATTTAGAAAGCAATACGCTATGATAGGGACTGGTCATTGGGTTTGGTTTTCTACTGCATTGTGCAGTTTGGGTTTTGCATTATTTTTGTTTACTCAGTTCCAGCACCAGGGAAATATTTTTCTGCATGTGCACATAGCAATATAGCAACAATACCTGACAAGGACAACCAATGCAGAACTGCCAAATGAACAGATGTTTTACTAATAACATTATCAAATGTCTGGAATGATCACCTGATGCCACCACATTCACTTTTATAGCATATTCTGGACCAAATTGTTTTTCCACCATTTTTATATACTCCAAAATATATACTGAACAAAAATATAAATGCAACATGTAAAGTGTTGTTTCCATGTTTCATGAGCTGAATCGTCTGAGACTAGCCACCTGGACAGCTGATGAAACTGAGGAGTATTTCTGTCTGTAATAAAGCCCTTTTGTTGGGGAAAAACTCATTCTGATGGCTGTGCCCCTACCCTGTCATGTGAAATCCATAGATTAGGGCCTAATACTTGTATTTCAATTGACTGATTTCCTTATATGAACTGTAACTCAGTACAATTGTTGGGTTTGTATATTTTTGTTCAGTATAGTTAATTAGTCTGAGTTCCCTCAGAGTAATGCATTTATCTGTTTCTTCTTTACATTTTCCAGACCCGAGGCGGTCGCCAATTTCTATCAGCGTGCGCTGCTGGCCAACGCCCTCACCAGTGCTCTGCGGCTGCACCAGCGGCTCCCCCACTTCCAGCTCAGCAGAGCCTTCCTAACCCAGGCACTCCAAGAGGACAGCTGTCACTACCTGCTGTACTCCCTCATCCTGGTCAACTCTTACCCTATCACAAGTATCCTCTCAACCATACATAAAGGCCTTATCACCATAGCCTGGTCCCAGATCTGTTTATGCTGTATAGCCAACTCCTATGGTCATTGTCATGCCAGGCTAATATCACCATGCCTTGGTTGTTCTGTCATAAGGGTCTCTGATAAAGCTAGAGCATGGTATATCACCACCAGACTGGTTTGGGGAGAATGCCAATTGTGTTGCAGGAAGGTTTTTGTAATGCTTGGGGGTCATGGTTTCAGTTATGCAAACCTACTAAAAACCTATTAACAAGATGGCATTGATTGACAGCACTATTTGATGCTGACCTCAATGTTTATTTTGCATTGTTGTCAATCTTTAATGCTGTTTGCCCCTTAACCGCAGTCTACAGTGAGCATATTCCCAGTCTTCCTGTTCTCGTTGCTTCATGCAACCACCTACACAAAGAAGGTTCTTGATGTAAGTATCTTCTCTTGATTCCAAAACATTTCAACGTTAGTGAAGCCATACAAAGCCAGTTGAGTAAAGCATAGCCAACACTTAAAAGGGTATTTTATAAAATACCCTTTTACTAGTTTTGGCTAGGTAAAATGGTCATTTTGCTCCTCAATTGGACATTTCTGGTTTTAGGGGCATTAATGGAAAATGTACAGTGTATAAGGTGCTCTATGTCTCTGCTAGTTTAGTCATGTGGTGCTCCTGATGTGTATAATTCCACTTGTAGGCAATGGGCCCCAATAGCCTGCCCTTCATGAGGAACTTCCTCAACAAGCTCTCGGTCAACCAGCAGAACATCCTGAAGTTCATCGCCTGCAATGAGATCTTCCTCATGCCAGCCACCATATTCATGCTCTTCAGGTATGTGTCTGTTTCTTGGTAAATTTCGCTGCACATTTGAATGGTACCTTAGACTGAAGTCAGATTAGGGTTTTTCCTTCTTAGTCGATGTCTTACTATACCAGTATGCACTGAGATAAGAATTAATCGATTGTCCTCCCCAGTCACTTGATTAATGATTGTTTCTTGTGTTTACAGTGGCCAGGGAAGCTTGCTGCAGCCTTTCATTTACTACAGGTTTATAACTCTCCGCTATACTTCAAGGAGAAACCCATATTGCCGGTAAGTAGCCTCATTTGACTTTTGTGAAGTAATTTTAATATGTAGGATAATTGTACAATACCAAATATGGCGAATTGCATTTTTCTATGTATTTGATGTTGATGAAATCATTTCTCAAACCATCGTTTCCCCCTATCCGCTAATCTCCCTGTCCACCTGTCCCAGCACCCTGTTCTCAGAGCTGCGGATCCTGCTGGAGCATTTCATCATGAAGCCTGCCTGCCCCCCCTTCTTCAGAAAGATGTGCCTCAACAGTATCGCCTTTATGAGCCGCCTGGCCCCCACCATAGTGTGACCTTACTTCCTGTTCCCACACAACCATAGTTTGTACTGTAAGGGGCGTGGCAGCATTTCAACTCAAGAGGGACTGACAAACAACTTTGAGAGCGAGGAAAAAAACCTTTTTGAATGTTAGTCTGGTCTGTCTTCCTGCGGCGCTGTTCAAATGCTAGAGCGGAGGCTGAGGTTCGGCCTACGACGCACTGAAAACCCCCGATCGTTTTCGATATGGCTTTATGGAACAGCTGAACACTCACTCCCCCCTCCTCCACCCCATATTCTCTCTCTCTTTGGGAATAAACACCAGCTGACTATCTGATGTGTTCTACTTATAAGGATTGACCTTATGATGGTTAAATGTCTTTGGTCTGTCCTGTATGATTTATTTATTCATGGGAAATACTTGTTCTTCTTTAAAAAAAAAAAAAAGACTTACTTCTGAGATTAGATAATTCAATTGTACTATACATAGTTGCAGTCATTTTTGTATAGCTTAATCATATTGTGCTTTTCAAAGGTGAGATGAGATGTCAGTTGATCTTTTTTTTTACATCCACTAATTCCATTTTATACATTAGTTTTCTTAGCGGCAAGCATTGGTTATGATTTTGTCTTAAAACACGTTTTTACTCTTTGAATTTGAAATGTGATCTATGCCATGTAACTCACTACTTAGAAAATGTGTTGGCAGAGTCCAAAAGGGCCCTGAAATGAAAAAGCAGCATATATGCTGTATTTTGAAGACTTGAATGGTACAAGGACATGTAGTTGTAGGATTTATGCTTGAAATTAATCAGTTTCACTATACCAGCAGTTCCTCAGTCCGTGCACAAAGCACATGTTCTGCAGTAAATGGGAAGGACTAGGCTGGCTTCAAATGCAAGTGTATATTTGCATTTTGAATAGGTTTTCTAATTGAAAATGTCTTTAAATTCACGTTCGATTAAACTGATTTGAGGCTAATACCCCTATAGTTGTCCGATTCAATGCATGCCAGTGTTAAATGTCTTTATTTACTTGTAGAGAAACCATGTTTGTGTAGATCTGGAATAAATTACTCCATTCTCTTAAATGAAAAAAATGACCTTGAATGAGATTTATAACCTCCATATTCACTAATATAAACATGATTTGTATCAAGTAGTCTTTTTTTTACTCCTTTTTAGAGCATCGGTGATTTTATTGGTTTGGTTTTTATTTGAGGATGGCCACTTTCTACTAACCAGGAAGACAACAATACTGGAACCGCTAAACCATTCAGAATCTACGTTGAATAACACCCGACACCACCATCACCCAATGATATTGAAGCTTCTTCAAATGAACAACGTTGTTCATGGTAACGGGTCCAGTGTGCTCACAGCAGAATCAGATGCTAGCTATCTCGACAACAACCTTAATTTGCTAGCTACTATAATGTCGATAAACTAGCTAACGTTATGGTTTAAGTAATTCAAATAACGATGTGCCAGCTATATAGAATATATTCATATGTCAGTTGTCACCTGCATTCTGACTAGCTACAGTTTTAGCGAGCCAGCTAAATTAACCAACTAGGCTAATCCCTACTACAGAATAATCCCAATCTGACCAAATGCTTTTTGTTTACCGCGCATGTTAGCCAGCTATCTTTATTAGCTAGCTAACGTTGATTTAGATACCTGTAACGCCGTTCTGAAAAAAAATGGCTTATAAACTTAACGTTACTGGACAGAAACCTTTTGGATAATTAAGATATAGCTATTAGCTAGCTAGCTAATCAATTGAATTGCACACCAATTTCTGCCGAGAAAACACTCACATCAAGCCAAGGACATCATGGAGATCAACCTCAACCGAGTTGATTATCTACAGGTAACTGAGTTGCATGTATTGCTAGTATAACTAGCTAGATTATTCAACTGGGTAGCTTTTTCCTACATTTTGACCCGTGATCATGTCACTAATGTTATGGCTAAACAGTAGCCTAAATTGAGTGGAAAAAGAGTTGGACAGCTTGTTTTTTTTTGTACTCTGCCAACTTTGATTTCAGTAACTAGATTACTTGTGATACTGACTGACTGGCTGTCACATTCATTAACACAGGTCGGTGTGATATCTCAGAAAACCATGAGGCTCCTCCCTGCCTTGGGACGCAAAGCAACCCAAAAGGTACTGAAATGTGAATGTGCATTATTAGAGGTGACCCATAAATAGACCTTGTGGTTGGTTTTGAATATGCGTTTTGAACAATGTCCCAAGCACTCTTGAGTTAGAAATGTCATTTTGTGTGTCTCAGGTTGCGGTTGCTGATCATGATGGCGTGATAACTTGTTTTGGGATGAAAAAAGGAGAAGCTGTGGTAGGTATTGAGTCTTACATATTTAACAACATTGAAATACTAGCCTGGGTGCCAGTTTGTTTTTGGGAGCCTACTCATTCATCACTGTTGGCTAAATCAGAGCCAAACTGGCACCCAGGCTAGCAGAATACAGCCACTTTCAAGGACTTCATATGAATACCTACTGCCGTTGTGCCCAGGAACAAGGCACAGCTTAATCCCTAACTGCACCAGGGAAGCTGCTCTGCAGCTGACCCTGTGCTGTTCGGTGGGATGGGTACTGTGTCCTCAAAAATACAAGTTTCCTTTCTCATTGTGTAATGAATAAATAAAGTTTCATTCCATGAATGTTGATTGTAGCTATCTTTTCCAGCCTGTGTTCAAGACCTTGCCAGGGCAGAAGATAACCAGACTGGGCCTTGGTGGGGCTCTTGGAACCCCACAGGAGAAGATCTTTGTGTGTGCTGGCTCAGAAGTGAAGGGATACACCAAGAAAGGCAAACAGTTCCTGTCCTTTGAGGCCAACCTTACAGAAAGCATCAATGCGATGTGAGTTTTAACTTTTTGCTGTGAATTATAGGTTACCTTGCCTCGGTTCCAGGCCTTCTACACATGTTTGTCAACAGTGATGAACGAGACTTGGGAGTATGGTTTTGCGAGAGTATAGGCTAGCTTTTATTATTAAAGACACTTGGAGCGTTCTTTAATTGGTTTATAAATAAGGGGAATTGTGGGTTTGTTTTTGTGCCTACAATGTGTTTTTCAGGCACGTTTCAGGAGCAGACCTTTTTGTGTGTGCGAGTTACATCTACAACCACTACTGTGACTGCAAGGATCAAGACTACTACCTGTCTGGAGACAAAATTAATGACATTGTGTGCTTGCCTGCTGAGAACTTGGGCCGCATTGTCCCTGTGTTGGCATGTCAAGACCGAGTTCTCAGAGTGTTGCAGGTGAATGGGTGAATGGAAATTGTGTATGAGTACTGCAGTATGAGTATATAAGTACTTCAATGAGTACTTACATTTACATTTTAGTCATTTAGCAGACGCTCTTATCCAGAGCGACTTACAGAGTACTTCAGTGAGTTTGTGTTTTCTTGCCCATAGGGATCTGAGCTTGTGTATGATATTGAAGTCCCTGGTCCTCCCTCAGTTTTGGAGCTGTACAATAGAGATGGAGGCAAGTATAAAATCCTTATACTGAACTCAAATTTCAATTTCACACATCCCTGTACTTACAGCAAACTGGTCTACTTCTACCCCACCGTCTGCTTTAGGGACTAATGGCGAAGACATTCTCTATGGAACTGTGGATGGCAAACTGGGACTGATTAGGATAACTGATTCCTCTTCCTCTTCCAAATGGGAGATTGATAATGAGAAAAAGAAAGGAGGTACGATATTGTTAAAGAAGATGTAAACTAGTATATGTTTCATCTGTCAGAGACTCAGAGTATCTATGCACTGAAACACAATTAGCACACTTATTAACATTGTATGTTATAAGAATGTTATTAACATTGACTTATCATGTTGGGCATCACTCAATCATATAGCATCATTCCATTCATTGAGCTTATTCCCATTTTCTTCTTTTATGGTTGTTTCTACTAGGTGTTTTGTGCATCGACACATATGATATCCTGGGTGACGGGGTGAAAGACATCCTTGTTGGCAGGGACGATGGGACAGTGGAGGTCTATGGGTTTGACAGCTCCAATGAGCCCTCATTGCGCTTTGAGCATGTAAATCCACAAATCATATTTTTATATGCTATATCCTACTGGCCCTGTGCATATCATCTGCAATTCAGGGGGAAAATTGACACTTTATTTTAATTCAAAGTTGATAGAAATGTCTTTATGTTGTAAAATGCGATGAAATAACAAACTTTCTATCCTAAAGTTGAGAGAATATTGTAGAAATCCATGTCTTTGGGATACTAACTTGTCCACCAGGTGTTATTGGAGAGTGTCACCTCTATCCAGGGTGGCTGTGTTGGGAAGGAGTCTTATGACGAGGTTCTGACAGCCACATACACAGGTGAGCTATCAACGAAAGAAAGGATTTGTTTTATGCACAAGAGCTATGGAAAAAAGAACCACTAGAGAGAGAAAAAACGAATGTCCGCTGACTGTTTGCTGCTCACAATAAGTGCTCTATAGGAGATACAGATACAATGTTGTGAGCGACTTGAAATAATATGTATGTGTCCAGGGTGGGTGACAGGGCTGACCACAGAGCCCCAGCAGGCTGAGGCAGGCGCTGGAGAGGAAGTCAAGATGAGTCGAGAGACCCAGAGCAAAGTGGCAGCTCTCAGGTATACTTGTGGACAGTTGTTGTTGTCACCTGTATTTGCAATATATATCAATGGAACTTTGTAAGCAAAACTCAGTGTTGGCAAGGTTAATTCAACAGCCAAAGTGAAGTCCTGTGTGTAGCAAAACATTTGTTAGCTAACTTAAATATGAGGACAGATACTGTCTGTTGTTATTGTTACAATTCTCCCAGTATGAACCCACAGCACATGTCCCCCTCAGGGAAGAGCTAGACCAACTGCAGATAAAGGTCGTTCAGGGCCGTGAGAAGTACCAGCAGACCTCCCAGTCTAGTACGGCGGTCTCCGCCATGCCCGTGTTCAGCGTCAACGACAAGTTCACCCTGTGTCAGGACGACGCCAGCTACAGCCTCACCCTGGAAGTGCAGACGGCCATCGACAATCTGCTGCTGCAGGTGAAACAAATTGACTTGACTCTGTATTTATGTTGTGTATTGAACCCGAAAGAGAGGTTTGAAAGTTTCTTTGCATGAGAGAGATCTGCTAATTATACAGTACGACTATTTGATGACTTGTGGATTTTTATGTCATGGATTGTAATGTTAGTATTGTTTTCTTTACAGAGTGATGTACCAATTGATCTGCTGGATGTCGACAAGAACTCTGCTGTCGTGAGTTTCAGCGAATGTGATTCAGAGGTGAGATGTCCTAGTACAGAGAGCATACACATACTACAAGTGAATGCTTTAGACTCCTCAAAGCACTAATTATGCTATCTGTTCCCGCAGCCAAAAGGCAATTTTCTCCTCGTTACGTACAGATGCCAAGCAAATACTACACGGCTTGAGCTGAAGGTGAGAGTTTTTTTTAAGAGTATGTTTTAAAGTCAGTTCTTACAGATTTTAGCCCAATAACTATTAATTTAGAATTGTACTAATGGCAATTAATAAAAACATGTAAATTGAAACCATTAGAAGTACCACTCTCTAGTCTCCAGTTCCTTCCCAGTCCCACCTGCCTCTGCAATGTGGAGGGGAACACTGCTGTGTGTTCTCATGACTTGTGTCACAGCATCTTCTCCCTTCTCCAGGTGAGGTCCATTGAGGGCCAATATGGCACCCTGCAGGCCTACATCACCCCACGCCTGCAGCCCAAGACCTGCCAGGTACGCCAGTACCTTATCAAACCCCTGTCCCTTCACCAGAGAACTCACACCATTGAACAGGACAGGTAAGGAGAAGGATAAAGCACTAGTATCAAATAAAATAAATGTTTATTGGTCACATGCACCAAATACAACAGGTGTAGACTTTACAGTGAAATGCTTACTTACGAGCCCATTCCCAACAATGCAGAGTTAAGAAGTAAGACAAATATTTGCTAATAAAAAGGAAATAGTAACACGATAAAAACAATAATGAGGCTATATACAGGAAGTACCAGTACTGAGTCAATGTGCAGGGGTACGAAGTAGTTGACGTAATTGAGGTAATACAGTATGTACATGTGGGTAGGGGTAAAAGAGACTAGGCAATCAGGATATATAATAAACAGAGTAGCATCAGCGTATGCGAAGTGTGAAAGTGTGTCTGTGCGTGTGTGTGAGCGTGTGTGCGCGTGTGTTGGAGTGTCAGAGTAGTATGTGTGAGTGTGTGGGTAGAGTCAAGTGAGTGTGCATAGAGCCAGTGCAAGGGAGTCAGTACAAAACAATTAAGATGAATTAATAAATAATAAAGCGGGTCAATGTAAATAGTCCGGGTGGCCATTTGATTAACTGTTCAGCAGTCTTATGGCTTGGGGGATAGAAGCTGTTCAGGTGCCTTTTTACAAAGACTTTGTTGTGCCAAATTTGGTCAGTCTGCCAAAACCTATCTGGGCTGTGCGGCAATGTGATTCCTTTGGCCTGTTAATAACACTTTGCTTTGAGGACAACTTAAATGAACTAACAATAACTAACATGAACTAACATTTAAAACAGACTTAATGGATGCTAGACAGCTATAAAAGAAAAAAAAGAATTGACCCCCTAGGCACATACACACACACATGCACCCCGAGGGGTTGTGGCAAATTGTCAGTCTGGAGCAGACTTGTCTTGCTCAAGGGCACAACAGCAGTAGATGGCATCCAGGGTACTGATCATATCTGAGAGAGCAGTCAGCAACCTCCCAGCCACTGGTGCCGGAAGTTGAGTAAGACTATATGGTCCTATATGGTAATAGTCTACAGAAAGAAAGACAGTGTTTGACTCAATCTCACTCTTTTTCTGTCTTCTTTCATTATCTCCCATTTTCTCTCCATCCCCCCCAAACAGACCCATGAACACTTTGAGTCTAGTTGGCCAATTCAGCTTTGCAGAGATCCACTCCTGGGTCCTCTTCTGCTTGCCAGAGGTCCCAGAGAAGACTCCAGCAGGGGAGAATATCACCTTCTACTTCCAGAACACTTTCCTTGGCACGCAGCTGGAAGCTACATACTGGTTAGGAATTAAATTAATTCAATACAACTTAATTTATCCCCTTAGGGATATGCGTCAATCAGAGTGCTTGGTTTAGTTTTCCCAGTAATTGTAACCAATGGAATAATCCCAAAAGTGCAAACTAAAGCTTGAAATCAAGCGCACCTCTCATACTTTTTGCCATTGTACTTTAGGGAGAATGAATTAAGACTGTACATTCAATATGGGTTTTCTTCTCCCCCCTTTGTCATTTTAGTAAAGGGGAAGGCCACTTCAAGTCTGACAACATTTCCACCATCTCCATACTGAAGGATGTCCTCTCCAAAGAAGCCACCAAAAGAAAAAACAATCTCAACATTTCTTATGGTAGGTCTTTAGCTAGTTACATTATTATCTGTTTTTAGGCTACTAGTTAGAGTTATTGACGATGGAGTGAAACAGTTATGTCTGTTCATGAAATAAAAAACATATTATCTTTATCTTGTCTCTATCCAGGCCAATATAGACAATCTCACAATTGTATTTGCGGCTCTAATTTCCAGATATCAATGACGATTCAGTGGGCCACACACTCAAGATGATTCATCCGAAGCTTGAGTATCAGCTGCTATTGGCCAAAAAGGTTCAGCTGATTGACGCATTAAAAGTAAGTACCAGTGTTGCAAACAGTGATTTGAGAAAAATGAAACTAGTTTAATATTGCAACTCTTGCTCACATATCGCTGTGTGTGTATGCTGTGTGTGTTTGGTAGGAGCTTCAGGTTCACGAGGGGAATGCTGACTTCCTCATTCCAGAATATCGTAACATTCTAGATGAGTCTGCCTATCTGCTAGAGGAATACAAGAAACAACCAGCTCACCTGGAAAGACTTTATGGTATCTCAATGTATAGTTATTGCTCTAACATTCTCATTTCACTAGAATTAAAAACAAATTAAATGTTCAGCGATCACAGTAGCCTAGCTTGCCAGGGATCCTTATCTCCTGGTGCAAAACGAATTTAACAGTATAGTTATGCAAAACTACCATGACAGTAACCTGTGTGTGTGTGTTTTTCCGTTTCCCCAGGTATGATAACGGACCTCTTCATCGACAAATTCAAATTCAAAGGACAGAATGTGAAGACAAAGGTGTCATTGCTGCTGGAAGTTCTGGATAACTACGATTTGGATTCTTTGATGAATTTCTTCAATGAGGCATAATATCAAACTTGAGCAAAGAGGATGCAAACTTTGACACTCCATTTGTAATAGCTTTTGTTTTGTTTAGAGTATAGAGTTTACTTTCCAGCTTTATGTTTGTTTTGTGTAAGATACTAGAATTATGTTACATAATCTGAATTCTTTATTATTCTATACTATTCTACTGTATCTTAGTCCATGCCGCTCTGACATCGCTCGTCCATATATGTATATATTCTTAATTCATTCCTTACTTAGATTTGTGTGTATTGGGTATATGTTGTGAAATTATTAGATATTACTTGTTAGATAGTACTGCACTGTCGGAGCTAGAAGCACAAGCATTTCACTACACCCGCAATAACATCTGCTAAACACGTGTGTGACAAATAAAATTTGATTTGATGTCTAAACCAATATTTTGTTGGCCTAGCTATATACAATACCAGTCAAAAGTTTGGACACACCTACTCATTCAAGGGTTTTTCTTTATTTTGACTTTTCTACATTGTAGAATAATAGTGAAGACATCAAAACTATGAAATAACACATGGAATCATTTAGTAATCAAAAAAGTGTTAAACAAATCAAAATATATTTTATATTTGAGATTCTTCAAATAGCCACCCTTTGCCTTGATGACAGCTTTGCACACTCTTGGCATTCTCTCAACCAGCTTCACCTGGAATGCTTTTCCAATAGTCTTGAGGGAGTTCCCACATATGATGAGCACTTGTTGGCTGCTTGTCCTTCACTCTGCGGTCGGACTCATCCCAAACCATCTAAATTGGGTTGAGGTCGGGGGATTGTGGAGGCCAGGTCATCTGATGCAGCACTCCATCACTCTCGTTCTTGGTAAAATAGCCCTTACACAGCCTGGAGGTGTGTTGTGTCATTGTCCTGTTGAAAAACAAATTATACTCCCACTAAGCCCAAACCAGATGGGATGGCGTATCGCTGCAGAATGCTGTGGTAGCCATGCTGGTTAAGTGAATTCTAAATAAATCACAGAACGTGTCAGCAGCAAAGCACCCCCACACCATAACACCTCCTCCTCCACGCTTTACGGTGGGAAATACACATGCGGAGATAATCCGTTCACCCACACCGCGCCTCACAAAGACACGGCAGTTGAAACCAAAAATCTCCAATTTGACCAAAGGACAAATTTCCACCGGTCTAATGTCCGTTGCTCGTGTTTCTTGGCCCAAGCAAGTCTCTTCTTCTTATTGGTGTCCTTTAGTGGTGGTTTCTTTGCAGCAATTCGACCATGAAGGCCTGATTCACACAGTCTCCTCTGAGCAGTTGATGTTGAGATGTGTCTGTTACTTTAACTCTGTGAAGCATTTATTTGGGTTGCAATTTCTGAAGCTGGTAACTCTAATGAACTTATCCTCTGCAGAAGAGGTAACTCTGGGTCTTCCATTCCTGTGGCGGTCCTCATGAGAGCCAGTTTCATCATAGCGCTTGATGGTTTTTACGACTGCACTTGAAGAAACTTTCAAAGTTCTTGAAATGTTCCGTATTGACTGACCTTCAAGTCTTAAAGTAATGATGGACTGTCATTTCTCTTTGCTTATTTGAGCTGTTCTTGCCATAATATGGACTTGGTCTTTTACCAAATAGGGCTATCTTCTGTATACCCACCCTACCTTGTTACAACACAACTGATTGGCTCAAATGCATTAAGAAGGAACGAAATTCCACAAATTACCTTTTAAGAAGGCACACCTGTTAATTGAAATGCATTCTAGGTGACTACCTCATGAAGCTGGTTGAGAGAATGCCAAGACTGTGCAAAGCTGTCATTAAGGGTGGCTATTTGAAGAATCTCAAATATAAAATATATTTTGATTTGTTTAACACTTTTTTGGTACCTACATGATTCCATATGTGTTATTTCATAGTTTTTATGTCTTCACTATTTTTCTATAATGAAAAAAATAGTAAAAATAAAGAAAAACCCTTGAATGAGTAGGTGTGTCCAAACTTTTGACTGGTAGTGTATATTCAGTTATATGTTCTGTTTTATAGGTTGGCACTTGAAAATATCATCCTTCATGTTTGGCAGTTATATTTCTATTGAAGTATATAGACTAGAGTATTTAAATACACAAATACATTTATTTTTTTTTTGTCATGGGGTGGGGTTGTCTCTGTGTATAACATAAGTGAGTGTAACAAGACTTTGAGATGCTCTCAGAGAGATCATAATTGTACGATATTATATTAATTAAAATTATGAAAAAAGTACCTTGTCAGGACACCCCGACGAAATCGCAACGGCCTGCGTATTCGCGGACACATTAAATCTGAGTTGTATCAGCCGCCGTAGATGCGTGACGTAGAGATTGGCCGTTTCGCCTTCGGTTGTGATTGGCCGTTTCAATAGTCGCGGGCTACTTGAACTGAGAACAAGCAACATTTCTGCATGAATATATATTTTGAGAGGACAAGGGACTGTTTGTAGATAAAGGTTGCGCGATAGTTAGCTACATTTATTGAATTTAGTCAAACAGAATGTCGGTTTTCATGCAGAAGATGATTTTTTTTGCATCCACGTTAAAAATAGGGTTTTAAATTTGCAGCTCCGACTTACGTTGTTGCCATCTCAACACCACCGACGTGTGTGTGATAACTTATGCTACTGTACTAGCTAGCTTGCTAACAGAGGTAGTCTCTTTGTACTATCTAATACAATTTGTAAGTCACTGTTTTTATTCGGTACGGTATTTCTTTACCGTCAAGGTTTTATTTTTGTTTGTAACAAAGTGCACGTTTCTGCAGTGACTTGTTTGGTGAACCAGAAACTGAGGATAACATGTCAGGATCAAACCAAGGACAAGGAATCGCGGTTGATGTTCCACTGCCAGAATACCAAAACCAAGAAAATATGCTGTCCAGACTGAGGGGTCCAATTAAAAACCGGGTGGACAACCAGGAGAACATTGTCCCCAAAGCACCACAGAGAACTGTTCTGGGAGGTTTGCAAAACAACCAATGCAGCAAACCTCAAACTCGCGGCACAAAACAGGTTGTTAACTTCTAGCTAGCTTTTCTAACTAGCCACAACCAGCGAACACTATACAAACACAGACTTGTTGCCTAGCTAGCATAACTGGCATGTAAATTGAGCTTGGTGGCTAGCTTACTTACTACCTAAAATTTGATCATCTTAGGAAAACACGGTCATAAATATAGGTTATAGTTTGACGACCAATAACAGTATATTTAATTTACAATTACAACGTTTTGTCAAGTAATGTGTTAATGTCCGCTAACTAGCTAGGTACCCTCCAAAGTAGTCCGCCATTTTATGCTGTCAATGTCTTGTGTTAAACATTGGGATGGCTAACTTGCGTTTTCAAACATTTCTTCCTATATTATTAATTAATTAGCATTAAATGACTAGGTGGAACTAACTCATTGTCGAAACCATGGGTACTGAAATATTTGTCTGATCTTTAAAACTGTCATTTCAGGTGCTGTCCTGCGAAAATGAAGTACCTAAAAGTTATGCAGAGAAGCTGGGCACCAAGCAGCCAGCTTTTCAGATTCACCTGGATGAGCCAGATGCTGCCTTCTCCAGGAAAAGGGTGTCCCTCAAAGCCAAGCCCTCCACAGAGATTTCCCCCCTAAAACTGAACCCAACAGTTACATGTCTCAGGCAGCCTCTCGCCTCTCTTGACATACCTGTGACATGTTTGTCAAACATGGATGGCAGTTTTGGTGGTGAGTATTTGAGTAATAATCCACTTAGCTTTTTTTTTTTAAACACTTTTAAAACCCTGTGGAGAACATGGTATTTTCTCTGGATTAAAAAGTCACATTTTCCTCTATATAGATTGTCCCATGGATATGTCAGTTATTGAAGGTGAAGAGAAGCCAGTGGACATGAACGCAGCAACAGAGTATGCTTCAGAAATACATGCGTATCTTAGGGAAATGGAGGTGAGCAAACTGATGTGTGCTATTCATTGTTCAGTTGTCACACAAATCACTGAACAATAACTACAGTTTTTCCATTTGTGCTCTTGTCCCAAGGTTAAGTCCAGACCAAAAGCAGGCTACATGAAAAAGCAGCCAGATATCACCTACAGCATGCGAGCTATCCTCGTTGACTGGCTGGTGGAGGTTGGTGAGGAGTACAAGCTCCAGAACGAGACTCTATACCTTGCTGTGAACTACATCGACCGTTTCCTGTCTTCCATGTCAGTCCTGCGGGGGAAGCTGCAGTTGGTCGGAACCGCTGCCATGCTGTTGGCCTCGTAAGTGTTGTCGACCCCCACAGCATCACCTTGTGTGCAGAGTAAACCAAGTCTGTGCTATCTGTTGTGTAGAGCCCACTGTATTAGGTGTCTGTCCCAAATTAATAGAAAAGATTGGCACCAACATCTGACTAACTTTAATTGGTGGGAACTATCCCTTTAAATGAAAGTAAACCCTAGAGATGAAGTACTCCTTTAATTGATAGTGTCAATCTAAGCAATGTGTGCTTTGATCACTCACTGGTTTTTCTTCAAATGCAGGAAATTCGAAGAGATCTACCCCCCGGAGGTGGCAGAGTTTGTTTACATCACGGACGACACCTACACCAAAAAGCAAGTGTTGCGGATGGAGCATCTGGTGCTGAAAGTGCTCTCCTTTGATCTGGCCTCTCCCACCATCAACCAGTTTCTCACCCAGTACTTTCTCACCCAGCCTGTCAGCAACAAGGTGGAGAGCTTGTCAATGGTGAGTAGTGTACACATTGTAGTGGTGTTCACATCTTGTAATTTTAAAGTCCTACTCCAGTCTGTTTCACTTCATTTAACACCCGATTTACTTAAATCTCAATAGGTGGTCCAGGTATCATGAAATGGCACAAGTGGGAGGGTGGGCCTTAACTCTTTTGTTCTCTATTCCTCAAGCAAGGGGGAGGCTGATCACATCAGACTAACTCCTTGAATGCCATACTCCTTGAAGTTTACAGTTGTCTAAACACTTTTGTGCTGCATTGTGTACTGTTTAGTGTGTACTTTAATCTATTTATACTTGGGATATCACTTTTCACAAAAATCACTGGAGTGTCTAAGTTGAAATACTTTTTTTTATAGATATTTGGTGAGTTCTTTCTTACAAATGTTGTCTTTGTTTCCTTAGTTCCTAGGGGAGCTCAGTCTAGTAGACTCTGACCCATTCCTAAAGTACCTCCCCTCTCAGACCGCTGCTGCTGCCTTTATTTTGGCAAACCACACTATAACAGGAGGCTCATGGGTAAGTTTGCAATGCTGCTGTAAGTGTTGTAGCAGGGTAGGAGTTTCATGGCCCTCTGGTTCGGCCTTGATGCTCCACTCAAAATAAAGCATCTTAAACAGGTCTTTGCCTCAGAGCGGTAGGCTAGGATTTGGTAGCTGGTGCTAACAGTAATTCTCTCCCTGCGGTGTATGTGCCACTGGCTCACACTGTCTGTTGGGCTACTCAGGGAGAGAAACAATCAACACATTTTGGTGTGTCATGAACCTCTCCTCATGTAAATATGCAAGTCTTCACAGTAATAATCAGGCTTTTTTTGTCTCACTTGCTGCCCAAACATTCATATATTGATGGTAACTCACCTAGCTTATCACAACTCGGAGTAAACTTTGTGAAACCGAGATTTACAACTGCTAATGGCCTTGGTGCACTAGCCAATTAGTTGTCACTGAAGGGCAAGTGGCCTTGTCTTATTAAATTCTGTACCTAAACTTGGCACAAACAATGTTATTTCCACCTCACTAAAGTCAGTGCCATATTAAGTCTGCTTTTGTAAGATGTGTTTGAAAAGTAGTCTATTCCCCAGTTGACAGGTTTGCTTACTGACATGGGGAATACAGTGAATCTCTTCCCCAATATTTTCAATTCCCAGGCTCATCCCTGACAAGCAATCTCTTGATTGCATTTGATCTTCAGGGGGTACCATGCAGTGTTTTATTTTCCACACTTTAAAGTTTAAACCGAACATTGTCCTTATACAACTGTAGCACGAGATAGGCAGCAAACCTATGTTCAATTGCGGCCTTTTATTCACCAACAATCATTTTTCCTCAACTCAGATCTTTTGTCACCTGAAATCTTTGCCCTAAATTAGAACGAACCGGTTTGCAGTGACTATTTGAGTTTTGTGCATTTTTCTGACTGTTTAATTTGTTTTATTTCAGTCCAAGTCTCTGGCGGAGGTGACAGGCAACTCTTTAGAAGACCTGATGCCATGCATAGAGGATCTGTACCAAATGTACCTCAATGCTGCTACTCATGCGCAGCAGTCAGTGAGGGAGAAGTACAAGGGCGCAAAGTAAGTGGACCATACAGATGGATTTATTTTCGTCATGTTGGCATATTTCCCTAATGTATACATGCCATTGGTATCCATCCATTTGCAATTCTAATCTAAAATAGCCAGTAAGCTTACACACATGGCTATTTTATTTTTTGTTCTAGGATACTACTTGTTCATATTGTAATTTTATAGATTTCTATTAGCTTGAACATGAATGGTGGGTCTGAATGAAAGCTTGTTTATTTATACCATATTGTTTCTCTCTAGGTACGAAGAGGTCTCTCTCATCGAGCCCCCCACGAAACTGTCATTGAAATGATTTTATATTTTTTGTGCTCGCCAATGCCAAACTGTATTTCCCTTTGCATATTTATATTTTTACTGCGTTTCACATATTGCCAGAATTTCAATAACTTAACTCTGCTCGGCTGCGGTCTAGGGCATGTGGACAACATTTAAAAAAAAATTGTAATGTGCATTTTATATGTACGATCCTGTAGGATAAGGATTGTCTTTTTTATGCTTGACGCAGCCCTGAGCTTTAATGTAGTTAATCAAGCAATGTCATGTTTGACTTTGTCTTACTAGACAAATGTTTTTAACTGCTAAAAAGCTGTAAAGATGAGTCTTTCACTGTCTGCATTCTTGTAATAAAACCGCAGCTTATTTCCCCTCTTCAACTAATAGACACTTGTGAATATTTCCTGACATCTCTGACTAACCATGGTTGGGTTTTCTATGACAACTTTATTTTATATGGATGTGGTTGAATTGTTATTTTTATAGTACAATTGTATTCTAGGAGAAGTTGGACGCATAAGTCTAGGTAGTTTGGCTCGACATTCTGCGGAACAGTGTCTGCCTTTTTTTTAATTTTTTTTTTTAAATCACTTGCCTTGTGCAAAGGTATGTGTTTTATTGGTTATCAATCAAGGCATCATTCGCTCTGTAAAATGTCTCGTAAATAAATTCCATTCCCACAGACCCTACGTTATTAATCCTTCCTGTTTTAAATTTCTTAGTGTATTGAACTTTCAGAAATGTAGTATAAAGTAGTAGCCCAATGTAAGATGGGTTTATAATTTGAAGTGAGTTTCAAATGAATTTGTGGGTGGCATCAGTGAAATGTCAGTATGCCATGTCTTGTGGCCTCTTCGTGGCAGCAGTGAAATATCAGTATGCCATGTCTTGTTGTGGCCTCTTGGTGGCAGCAGTGAAATATCAGTATGCCTTGTGGCCACTTGGTGGCAGCAGAGCACTACTTCCTTGCCTTACTGCAGTTTTTCCCAAACTCGGTCCTTGGGACCACAAGGCTCTACACAGCTGATTCAAATAATCAAAGGTTGAGTTCATTATCTGAATCCGCTGTGTAGTGTTAGACCCAAAACCCCTTGGGGTCCCCAGGACCTAGTTTGGGGAAATGCTGCCTTAGTGAGTAAATTGTCACCAATGTTTTTCTCAACTCCTTGCAGAGCAATTTGAATTAAACTCAGTGGTTGTTTTGATATCGCACAAATGTATTCTGGTTAATGGTAACCAGTAACATGTGTTGTCCTTTTTTAAAAGTGACATTTTCAAAATGTCCTTCCAACTATAAATGTAATGTGTTATAAATGATGATGGTGTTTTGTACATTGTCTGCAGTGCATTTTTGTTTTGCCACATTGATTCCCTCAACTTAGAGGAATGCTTTACATGTCATGGTGATAGAATGTAAGTTCTTTGTTTTGATCAAAGTCGGCGCACATGGTTTGTGAACATCGTGCAATGAAAACCACTTAACACAGATTAATGCAAATTTAAACAATTAGAATGACAAAGGCAGATTGTGGATGCCATTTTTGTTTGTTTTAATGATATTGGCATCATGCAAGATAAGGTGTATATGAACATGCTTGAATTCATTTTATGTCGCTAAGTTAGAAAAACAACAGATCTCGACATCTGTGCCATAAATGTGTATTTTCTCATCAATTCTGTACTGTTACGAGTTATGGTTGGCATCTGGCTCTATTTGAAAGTTGCCATTGAAAGCTGCTTAAGAACAGATACAAACTTGAAGGGAGATATGATTGACACTTCAGAAAATGCTATTCAAAAGATTTAGCCGTCAGAACGCCTAGTCCTGAAGAAAAGAATGGCAGTTCATCACATAGGCAACAAATAATAGTTTCCTTTTATTCTGAAGATGTGGATTTATAGCACATATATAGCTAGGCAACATTGTTTCATGAGATAAAACAAGCAGACTGATCATGTTAAAAATGTCTTATGACAATTTAGTTACACTGTGTAATTTAATCAAACGGTCACTCCAATGACAACATAATGATAAAACAACATTTATGTTTTCTGTTCCCAGCTCGCCTTTGATTTGGTTCTCTGCCTGCAAGTGAACAGGTAGCCAATGGCAGTGAGGGGGGGGGGGGGGTTCTTGCTCTCTTTGTGTGGATGTACATTGATACATTGTTCTGGCTATGTACGGCAAGCGCTGAGTACAGAGCCCAGCAACAGAAAGCTTTCCACCCATTTCCCCAGTCTGTCTTGACGAGAGCACACGTCTACACCATGGACCGCCTCTCCCTTGCTTCTCCTCTAGATAACGATGACGAGACAACTCAACAGGAATATCTGAGGAAAAACAAAACCATGGAGGGAAAGAAAATTCCCAAGCCAACCAGCCCCAAGGATCTAACATTCTAAAATGACAACCATGACCACACCTCGGCTTCGGTCCAAATGCTAAAGGACCCGGAACGCGTCCAGGGGGGAATCCAGAGCTGACCCATGCCCTCACCGAGGAGGTTCTTGGTGGCGTCCACCTCGCTGCCCGTAGCCCTGGGCTGGGGCTGGAACCTGAGCGTGTACCTGGCGCTGTTGCTCTTACTGCTTCTGCTCATGCTGCTACTGCTCTGGATGCTCCTCAAGCAGCTGAGGAACTCGGTGGGGAATAGTCTGCAGCCTAGATGCTCTCTGAGGGACCCTCGCCATGGTCAGAGAGGAAACTATGTAGTGTGAGTGAAGAAGAAGTGTGCTGACTTTGTTGGACTGTGTCTCGCAGCTTGTTGGAAGGAAAGACGGTCTTCTCCAGATCAATAATTGTTTTGGACTGTGTTGGAAGGAAAGACTGTCTTTTCTGAAAGGGCAAAATACCTTGTCATAAGAAAATGCTTTCTTCTCAAGAGGTGTCAGACTATGCTGTAGACCTGTCATAAGGAACAATAGTATTTTCTGAAAGGGTTTTGGTCTATCCCTCACAGCTTGTTGAAAGAAAATACTGTTTTCTCTTGAAATCTGTTTGAATGTATCTCATGGTTTATAGAACACTTACATAAAGCCTTCTCCAGAAGTGTGCTTGACTGTGCCTCAGCTTGTTGACTGACTGGAGCTATACACTATAGAGCTTCTAACATGCCTATAACCTGATAAACTGCTTATTCTCCAGTCTGTTGAACAATGGATCAGAGACCAGAGACCAGAGAAGTGCTTCAGACTACTTGGTTGTGTCTGACAGAGATGGTGACGCTGCAATCCTTGTTTCATCATCAGTGAATGTGTTTTATCTTATTTCCATGTATGTATTGTATATAACAATGTATTCACCATTCTACCAGCAGATATTTTCTGAGGAGTGCATACAGTGTAAAAAAGCCTACAATGTAGAATTTCTGAGAATATACTCTAATATTAAAGGGATAGTTCACCCAAATTACTAAATTACACATTGATTTCCTTACCCTGCAAGCAGTCTATGGTCTAAGGTATGACAGCAATCCATGCTTTGGTTTTATTTCCCTGGCACTGTTTCCTAATGCTAATGTTTTAGCATTTGTGGCACAAATCCCATTCAAGTCTTGACACGGTTATTAGCATTTTTCGCGCATCATGTTCAAATCATCTAAAAGTGACTTTGTTGAGATTCATATAAAAATGTAGATACTTTCGGATGATTTGGACATGATGCCCAAAAAATGCTAATTTTGGTACAAGGACTTGGGTGGGTTTTGTGCCACAAATAGGAGTCTCTATCACCATTAGTTATTGATTATATTTTCATGTACTGCACATAAAAACAGTACACATATTAAGCTACTTCTACTCATCTTTTAAATGCATTCAAAAATAAACATTACCAACAGAAAACATGCAAGATCCAATCTGCATTTTCATATATGCTGATTAAAGTGATACATTCAGGGTGGCAATTTGCACTCCTCTCATCTCAATGGTGATTTGGTTGGAGAGTATTGAGGAAATGTCTCCAATGAAAAATCTGAAGGGAGCTTGACCATTTGTTTAGGTAGATCTATCCCACAGCCATGTCAAACCAATTATTGAATGAGTCCTTCTGGGAAAAGGGTAATATATTTAATGTAGTACTACCGTGGACATGGATATATGTAACTAAGTGTCTAACCCAATGACGTACATAAAGCCTGGATTGCTGACACTTATGTATTGGCCATTGAGAGGCTTTGAAGCCACCGGTCGGCCATATTGGCACTCCCTATTAGGAGCAGTCCTCCACAGGAATGAATGGAATTCAACAGTATTTCAATTAAATGTGTCAAGGACAAAATTACATGTATTTAAGTATTTTTTAAATACTTAGCACTCTCAAAAAAAAAATACTTTAAGGCAAATGTTATGTATTTTGAAATGTGTATGTTTAGCTCACATAATATAATTTAAAAATATGCATTAAAGTGTCTGTTATAAAATAAACATGTCAGAAACGAACGTAGACATTAATACATGCATTTCTATAGCTGCCAAAATATCTATGGCTTCAATACAGCGCCACCTGTCAGTCATCCAGGTTTTATACACATCATTGGTCTAACCCCTTCCAACCCATCCTGTTTGGATGCTCTTTGTTTTGCCTCTATATGAAGCTGTGTGTGTGTGTGTGTGTGTGTGTGTGTGTGTGTGTGTGTGTGTGTGTGTGTGTGTGTGTGTGTGTGTGTGTGTTTGTGTGTGTGTGTGTGTGCATGCGCACGCAGGTGTACGTGTATGACACTTAATTTTTTCATCCATGAACATTCTGTTTATATTAGATTGCTCTATTTGACGTCACGTCCGTACTTCAGAATGTGCTTGAGAATGTAAAGCATTTCTATGTTTCCCCAGAACATGTCATTCAGTAGCTCTTGATTTCAGCCTTGTACATGCCCGTGGTTGAGCCAGGTGTGTGTGTTTACTGTGTTGTGATGAATGGGAAGATTTGTTTCTTTTCAATGAAAGACTACAGCTAATCAATGATGTCCTCACCTCGAGGGTTAATGAAGCTTCAATGGCTGAATCCACCGTTCATGTAGC